TGAATTCTTAATGAGGTGAGTGAGTATACTATTTATGTTGTTCCTCAATTTTTTTTTTTTTTTTCATAAGAAACATGATTAATAAGTTAATATCTATTTGAGTATTAATCAAAAAATTGACTTAATAATCATGTATTATACTTCACCTTACTTTTTACATGAAAAAACATGATCAATTAGACCACATGAGGGAGTACTTCCTCAAATATTCTTTTTTATCTCTACATCATGTTATTATTGTGCCTCAATCATAAAATTAAATAAAATAATAATTAATAAACTTATCAAAAAATATCAATAATAAAACATTACCAAAATAGGTATGAAAAGTTTACTTACTGTAAGTCAATTTATATCTCTGTAGAGTTTAAATCGACTAGTAAAGTAAAGATATATAATACGTCACCCTCAAGAAGCTACAGTTTTATAATAATACTTTATAAATTTGTATTATTCATAGAGTAATCTAACTTAAGACACTCTTCTTTACGTAAGAATACGTAGAAAATAAAGTAAGGTAAGAAAAATAGAAGAATGTAGAGGAACTTCACCATTGTTGAGCAAAATAACATGTCTTATTTATAGGACTTATAATCATATAACTCTCATTTCTAAGTTAATGATAAGAATAAATTAAGCAATTATTATGAAATAATATGCCCTTAAGTAGAACAATTAATCTACAATGATTAGTTTAACCAAGTCCTTTATGGACAATAAATTCAATTTATAAAATATATTATTTTATTTTTTATTAAAATATTTAAGTTCTAATAATTCCTCCACTATTTTAATAAAAAATAAACATTCTTTTAGACCAAGATGGATTAGTATGTATAATAAAGGTAGTTAAGTCTTGAATCTTTACTTAGTGAGTTAATAATTCTTAATTCAAATTTAATAGTGAATTAAGTTTTGAACTATAACTCCATTGGAAGATACAAGAGTCGTATCACACACATAATTATCTAAATGTTGAGTTTTTCACATAGCTGGCGCATTATGGCCTTCCACATGATCTTGGTTCTCATGGGTGATCTAAGAAATTGCCCATTCAAGTTTTATAGAAGCAGCCTCACTTCGACACCCATATAAGTGAAATTTGTTAATGGTGCTCCCATAACTAAGACAGCCCACTTAGTGAGGTACTAATTTTATTAGGAGTATAGAACTCAATCCTCAATTTGTTATGGGATAGATGCATCCTCACCTTAAAAATGAGATTAGAAATTTTTTCCATAAAATATTGATGCATCTTTCAATAACGACTTCTCTATAATTCATTTTTCCCATTCAAAACCCAATTCTTAGAATTCGGATTGAGTATCCTCATAGGAAGTTCTACACTATTGGGTTTGAATCCTATTCCTCTCGATGAGAACTAGACTTTAGAGTATGATCATAATTTTTCCTCCAACTTATGATTTTACCAAAGACCTAGTTGGTGGTATAGTGGATAACAAAGAGACTTAACTCATTCTTTTTCTCACTTTTCCTTTTCACATCAACCCACATGTCTACTATCTCATAAAATTCACATTCATATTTCTCAAATTCTCAATTCATGGTACCACAATTTTTGATATCAAATCAAGCTAGTGAACCACCTTTTTCTTTCTATATATGTTGAGACATGT